ACTGGATATACTGCCTAATCGGTCCAGCCATAGGCAGAGAATGATGTACTTCAGATAAGTTAATTTACCAAATAACTAAGATTAGATATATAAACTTCACAATTCTGAAAGCTTTTTTCCTACAGATATGTGTACTTTAGGAAACACAGCATATTTAACATTTTTATAAATTTCAGTTGCACACTGTGCTTCTTTCAGGAAGCTTTCACACTGAGCCTGGAGCTGTTCGCAGCGGGCTGTCAGAAGCCACTTCCTGGCTGCCAGACGGCAAAGGAGCAGGCTGCTGTTCTCAGTGCTATGTGCAAACCCAGGACTCCAAGGGAATGATAACAAAATCACCGTCACATTAACCTACAGGCTCAGGACCCAGTTCTACCTCCTCCACACAGCTTTCGGGTACCGGTCGCCCTTTGTGTTTCCAGCCATCCTGGGTTTGCTGGGCACCTCTGAGGTCATGGAAATGCAGTTCCTCACTGCAGCTGGGACACACTCACTCCATTTTGACAAAGAGGGTGTTATTGTCAGCAGTGGGTGAACAGTGGTGAACAAACCAAGCCCCTGCTCCTAGGGCTCAACGGGGACAGGGACTCAGACAACTTAAACACGTGGACATTGGCACACCTGAGGGCCAGGGAAGTGCCGCAGACATGATGGGGGTGGCGAGGCCAAGGTCCCAGCCAGGCACGCTTGAGTTGCTATTGCCACAACCCTGTGATCACTGGCAAACAAGATTTCATGGTGGGCGTGTAACTTAGAACTGGATTTCCAAGTTTCTTGAAAGCGTTAGCTAGAAAAGACAAGGTAGGTTGATCTGCACACAGGAGGTGCTCAGCAATGCCAGTCCTGATGGGCTCCTCCTGCCCTGAGTGAAGAACATCCTGCCCCTGGACAGTAAACAAAAGGTGGGGCCATTTTATGCCTTCAACAAGACACCTGGCTCAAACTCAACTTCAAAGCCTCTTCAATCCCAACTCCTGCTGCTCCCAATCTATTTGGGGGTAGAATAACTACATATATGGTAAAAATTCCAAGTATTTGGTTAATACAACTTTTAAAATTTAACTAAATTTAACTTTTAAAATTTGACAACAAAACTGACCAAACAACATTTAATTTACTTACATATTGCTTATAAATGGGATAAATAAGAAAAGAGCTGAATTACAGACCGGATATTAAAAACTGTTCACTTAGCAGGGTCAAATCTAAACTGTATCTTGACTTGTCATTTTTTTCTAATAGAAAAGTTTCGCAAGGCATATTATGAAATAATTATAAATAGTTAATGGGGAAAAAAATTACTCATGGGCGAAAAGATTTGTTTTTACTGGCTTTCTGGAAGAAAGTAAATTTAATAGTTCAACAAATTATATTACTAGTCTTTAGTAACCAACCAGGACAATTTCCACAATTCATTAAAACAAAAACAAATTGTTACTGAATCAGAGACAAGTTTTAATAATGGTTCAATAGCAATATAATGGTGTTATAATTCACAACCAATTAGTCTGCAACTAAATACACAGCATTGTATTTATTTAAAAAAATTCCAAACATTGGTAAGTTCTGCTGAACTCTGGTGGTGAAAACCGGCTATTTTACAACGTGTGAACATGGTTTAGCAGTGCACGTTGTATGCGTGAGTTTAAGTAGGTGTTAACCCAAAACAAGAAATGTTGCATGGATTTGTTTCCCAAACTGCACTGCCATGAGCAGATGAACAAAAATGCCACGTGTACAGAATTTAAGAACGCAACAATTTCATAAGAACAGTGTGACATGGCTTTCGTTAACCATACTACACTTCCAGGAAGAGCAACTCATCACCCCAAATTCCCACGCTTCATTACGACCCCCACCAGCACCAGCAGGTATGAGGGACTGGACAGCTCAACAGTGACTCTAAGGTGCATGCCAATGTTTAAAGAACACAGCAGTTAAAGTTAGTTTCTACTCTCCCTGAGTTGAATGAAGCTTAGAAAAACAATATTGATTCCTCAAAATCTGACTGAAATTTTGAAAAACTATGAAAGTAAATGTTTCAAAATTTACTTTGATATGGAAGTTTCAAACATTTTTTAACCGATAACTGGGTTATCATTTTCTATATAGGATTGTGGAAGAGACTTTTTAATTTGGATTTCTGTTTTTGAAAGATGGCAAATTTTCAATCATGCTAAGACAGAGTAAAAACTAAACTTCCATTACAAACCAGTTATCTTAATTTTGACAACAGAAACAATCTGTAATTGAACACTAAATTCTAGTAATAACTTTAATCCTAATAATTATTGATTAGTCTCAGTGTAAAATTGCTAAGGTTAGATAGACAAAATGATTTTACATAAAATAAAATGCTGAAAGACACAAGCTAGGCTTGGTGACTCACACCTGTAATGCCAGCATTTTGGAAGGCCGAGGCAGGTAGACCACTTGAGGTCAGGAGTTTGAGACTAGCCTGGACAACATGGGGAAACCCCATCCCTACTAAAAATATAAAAAAGAATTAGCCAGTCATCGTGGCGCATGCCTGTAATCCCAGCTACTCAGGAGGCTGAAGAAGGAGAGTCACTTGAACCCTGGAAGTGGAGGATGCAGTAAGCCGAGGTCATGCCACTGCACTCCAGCCTGGGTGACAGAGTGAGACTCCATCAAGAAAAGACAAGAGAAAAGAAATTAAGTTTTTCACACCAATTATTAAGGACAGATATTACTAAATGCCATTAGAAAAAGGAGGAAACTTTTTATCAAGAATCTAAAAACAAATGCTTCTACATTTCCAATTTATAAGTATTCTAATAATACTGAGTGACATTATGGACAACTTAGCCTAAATTATGGAAAATCATATTATTTACAAGAACTGCAAGAGAATCAGTTGTTGTAGTGAGTGTTGCTATAAACATTTAAAGCAGCAAAAAATACCAAATGCCTGCACAGTATGAATAATAAATGCACATGATAAAGTAAAAAAAAAAAAAAGGAACAAATGGGAAGAAAGCCAACAGAAGAGGGCAGTGGGCATGGGCCAGAGAGGGCAAGAACTGGGATGGGGACATAGAGGAGCCCAACCTAAGGTAAGGCACAGGCTCAGGCTTTACCACAGTCACAAAGGCTGCTTTTTCTTTGTTTTCAGCAGAAGGTAAACATGAACAAATCACTTTTTAGAGGTAACTTAGATACACTTGTGAAGAATAATGTGGAAGGTACAGAGCAGCTGCAGGAGCGGGACAGGGGATTCCTGTAGAGCAGGAGCACTGATGAGCCAAGCAAGGCTCCTCTTGGAAGGCAGCAATCAACAGAGATGCATAGACCTGTGAGGCTGCCAGGACAGCCAGGCAGCAATGCAGTCCTTGTGCTTCCTAAGCTCACCAGCTACCTCCCTCCACCTCTGAGAGGTGGTTTGGTGAACACAGCCCTTCTCAAGAGGGTTGCAAGGTAAGCTTAGTTGATACATGAGTGCACAGCACATTTTAATTTTTATAGTTATGCATTTATTTTATATGCATTAGAAAAATGAGCAACAGAAAGTTAACCACTTCACAGGTATTAGTGTTTAGGATGAAGCTAAAGTAGGTATTTCTGTTTAAAAAAGTAAATTTGAAAAAAAGCTACTCAGCAAATTATAGTAGCACGTGGTACACAGACCAAAAAAAAATCATGCAAATGGTTCAAATGACAGAAATCAGTAAAATAATGGCCCTGGTCTATGAACTCCCCCTCCAACAAAGCACAGTCAACACTCGCACCTTCTCCAGAGTCAGTGACCAAAGATGACGGAGCAGGGAACCCAGCACAGAAACCACCAGAAGCTAATGACTTCTTCCTGTGCCCCATCCTACTCTTTCACTCACCCAAGAATTAAATCCTTTTATGTAGACAGATGGTCAAGAATTGCTACTATAAAACAACTCAGTATGGTCCTAACTATCAAAGAGCTACACAGGGAAATAGTTACTGCTAGAGACCTCTCTGCTGATATTTTTCCTGGCTACTTAAGTCCTGAAAATTTCCAAAAGGCTGAGTCAAATCTGCGTTTCATCATCTATGAGAGAGGTACCTACCGAGGATACCCTGCTGGCCAGTGTGTAAATATCTAAAAGAGAACTCAGAAAACACTGGGGAGGTCCAGCCTGCACATGGTGACTGGGCTTCAGTGAAGCATGGAACATGACAGGATTTGTAAGTAGTAGTTATGTAAGAAGCTCTGGAAATTCCGCTTTGAACCAAACGTAACAAATAAAATTATCTGAAGCTTAAAGTTATTTAACTCCCTAATTTTTTTGTCCTCCCAGTAGCACTTTTAATTGTCTAAAAGCAAGTAAAAGAAACATTTATCCAATGTCTCAGAGAACCATTAGAAACACAAAATTAATAGCTTCATAAACTATAGCTTCTATTTTATCCATTATAGAATGAAAGTGCATAAGCTACATAGTAATTAATCTTTAGACAAAAGCAAACAATAAATGAAATATATGGCTAAGACCCTTTCTTTCTGAGTATAGCCCAAGATAAAAATTTCTTCTAAAAGGGTATCATTAATGCAATAAGGCTTTTGTGGAATTCTATTTTGTATGAAATTCCAGTTTTCTATTAGCTAGTTCTTCCTCTGTGACACAAGTCTCATTCTTTGTGAAAAATGCAAAGCAGAAAACATTTGTGAAATCATCAGGTAAAGATCCCATGACAGTTCTATCACTGACACGGTACAGAGGTATGAGATGCAACCCCCAAGGGACAAGCTTATTGCATCCTAAGCAACCACAGAGCCACAGGGCAGGTGAGTGTTTGCCCCCACTGAGGCCTGGCAACCTCTGACACCAATACTGGAGAAATGATCCAATCTCACTGTTTTCTCCTGAACTCGTTCCCTTTTGTTTTTCGATTAACAGGTAGCAAACAGGCACATCAGCATCTTAAACGTTGTACACTTACAATCTTCAAAACATAGTTGTTCAAAACAGTCATCAAAGCAGTTTTTGAAATAGAACACTTACTTTGACCACATAATTGAACCTTCGGATATCTTGAATTGCACTTGAGAAATCTAACCGATTAAAAGCTTCTCCCAAGGTGCAATAGCCATGCCTCTGGAAGAGCAACACAGAAGTTAAAGTTAGTCAATTAGCCAAAAATAATTGGCAGTTAATGTCAATTAATTGTGCAATTAAAAAAAAAAGTTTGGCAAAGGACATTTGTTTTTATTCTGAAGACTAATTTTTGATTTAGATGAGACTATAGTAAAATTATAGCAATGCTAATAATTTAAGCTATTTATGTATAACTGAGACACCATTAAGTGACTTTTTTACTAACCTGCTGAAGTAATGACAAAGACAAGTATTTATTAAATATCTTGCTGGCTTATTTTGTTGGTGACAGATTGGGGTATGGATGACGTCAAGGCTAAGATCATAAAAAACTGGATATATTCTGGGCTATGAAACTAAAAATATATAAATCATCTGCTCAGCTGCATTATAAGGATGTAGATGTCATAAACACACAGTTGAAACACAGGATTTCTCTGTAGGGGAGGCATGCACTGCCCAAGTTTGAAGTACAACATGGGATTTCTCTCCGGAGCAGGCATGCACTGCCCAGGTTGGAAGCAAGCTCAATCAAAAGGATCAAGGCTGGAAGAGGCACTTCAGTAGCAGGAAGAAGCCACTGAAAACCTGCATTGGGATGGAGAGGGCTGAAGGCAAGTGCCGGATGTGACCACGGGCAGCTTTCAGGCTGGGAACATGGATGCCAAGAACTCCAAACACCAAAAAAACTAGTGATTAGACCCATAGGTCCAAGAACCAAAGGAAGAAAATGAAACAATTTATTTTCAGTACTGACAATACTGCCGATATTCTATCTTAGATGTTTTTCTTCCATGATATACCCTGTATCCTAAATTGGTTTGTATAGATTAACACATCAGGTTTCAGGAGTCATTTAAAACTCCATCTTCCTCCTCCATATTTGAAATATTTAAAATCTACAGATTTTCATTTCAAAATTGTAGAGATAAATAAGATGGAGCACAGTAACAGAAAACATGAGATGATAGATCTCAAATTCTAAACAGGTGATCTGAGATGTCCCAGAGAAAGCAGCTGGAGTCCTTCGTCTTTGATGGCTGATACACTCGGTGGCTTATGTGCTTCTTTGCACCAATCTCAATCACCCTAATGTATGCATGACTCTACGAAGTACATTCATTTAAAACATCCACATATATTGACTGAGTGCCTGCTATGTGAAAAACATCTTCCTGGGAACTCTAGGGGGAAGGAAAGGCTAATTTGGATATACATTATAATCTGAAATCCATCAAAGCTGAGAATCCTATTTTAATTATCTCTCTTCATTCTTCACAATGGGGCAGCAGGCACTTTCTGAGGTCACCACTCATCTCACAACGGGAAATCTGATTCACAGAGCAGACCAGAAAAGGCATGTCTGGACCTAGAACCACAGCATGTAACCTCGGAAGCCGTGAGACACCAGCCAGCATGGACAAGCAGCAGGCACTTGCTCTACACCAGGTGAGGGTGTGGAGACATGGTATGGTGCAGAGATACCAGCACCCAGTCCCAGTTCTGGTCCCTCTCAGCCTGGTTAGGTCCTGGTTCCTAGGATTCCAGGGAACATCCCCACAGCCTCACAGGAGGATCCTCTTTTCCTGCATATGCTAGCTTGGATGAAATCCTTTGTTCTGCGATCGGTATGGCAACACAGAGCAGATGACATATTTAGTAGTCTTTCATAAGTGCGAAGTTTTGTTTTTTACAAACTAGGTTAGATTCTGTCCAACAATCTTCTAATGGTATATTAGAGTATATAAGGATCTGATTCATTCTATATCCACTAACCATTACTAAATAGATTAGTTTTCTTTCTCAGAATCTAATCCTTCAGTTTCTAGGAAGCTGGACTAGTTTCAGACCATCTACAAACTTTTCTGGAATATTTAACTTAATCTAAAATAACATATGATAAACAATTGTTCCCTAATTCCCCAATTGTTGCAAAATAAAGCAAATGCAGAGTTTCTAGGACTATAAAAGGAACTCAACTTCCCTGATCCCAGTAAAGAAACAGGAAACAGCTTGAAGCACTCTAGTTTGTCTCATGTCTCATGAAAAAGCTTTAGCCCAACTAGGCCAAAGAAAGGAAAGAGTTTAAACGGTTCTGCACAAACCCAACCCAACTACTAATTTTGTCTCAGCCACTCTTCACACGGAATGAGGGGCTCACAGATGTCCTAACCTCCAAAACATGCTACAGAGAGGACACACTCCAATCAGCATCAGGGGTTCAAGCTAACACAGAGAAAATGCGCTATGACTGAAGGAGTCAATGCTTGTTTTAAATACCCTTACTGCTGACTCAGATATGTATTCAGTTACGTACAGGTAGGCAGGAAACACACACTGCACACATATACCACACGCCGCCACACACCATATATCCCACACACAAATGTGTGCACACACACTAAACCACACACACCATACACACAATACACACCAATGTGTGCACAAATACACAGCCACATACCACATGCACATGCAAGCACACACAACAGAGAATCACTTCCTCAAAAGCTCTTCATATGCTATCACCTATTAGAATATGAACTACAGATTTGATATTGCAAAAGAAATTTTGTTTTATGCAACTTTATTAATAAGTTTATTTAATGTGACTCCATATTCAACAGAAACAATCCAAGATACTCTCTTATTTATAATAGAATACTTACTTCTTTTGTGCTTTCTTTATGGACATAGATCCATTTTTCACGATAAAAACCTAGAATAAAAATTAACTTTGTTTTAAAATCTGGCAAATCATTTCAAAATGAAGATTTTAAAGGAATTTAAATAATTGAACATGCTAACAAAATTATCTGACTTACTGTATTGACAAGAAATGCTTTTACTTGGTTAAATGCAAACAATCGCTTTGTTTCTTAATGTTAGTTTAAGATATGAACAATGATTTCAGACAGTACCAAGTCCTAGTAACTTAGAAGAAAATTAGTATTATTAGACTGAAGCCATATGAAGCCATAAACAATTATGAAATGCAATTACATTACTAAATTCCTATGTACCCTAATAAAAAGTTCTATTCTTCCAATGCTCTGTATGGTACTCCAAAAAAACAAATTTTTCAGATAAATCTTAAAGTTTCAAGATTCACACTAACTGTATTCTCCACGTGACTCTATCTTCTTCATATAGTAGTCCCCCCATATTCAATTACTCACAGTCAGCTTTGGTCTGAAAACATTAAATGGAAAATTCCAGAAATAAACCATTTATAAGTTTTAAATTGTGCGCTGTTCTGGGTGGTGTGACGAAATCTCACACTGTCCTGCTCTGTCCTGTCTGGGATCCGAATCCTCTTTTTGTCAGGCGAGTCCTACACTACCTGCCCCTTGGTCACTGAGTAGCCGTTGTGGTCAGATCAACTGTTGAGGTATCACAGCGTTTGTGTTTAAAGAACCCTTATTGTACTTCATAATGGTCCCAAATACAAGAGAAATGATGCTGGCATGCTGCTATAATTGTTTCATTTGTTTGTTATCCTTGTTAATCTCTTAACGTGAATAATTTATAAATTAAACTTTATTATAAGTGTGTATATATAGAAAAAAAACCATAGTTCCCATAGGGTTTGGTACTATCCATGGCTTTAGGCATACTCTGAGGCGGGGGGGTCTATCCCTCCAGGTAAGGGAGCCTACTATACATTAAAACGTGCGTTAGTAAGTCACAGATGTGAGTGCCATGAAAAATCCCTATGCCCTCTCACAGATAAGTCCCACCTCCAGCCTTCCACTGCTGCCATCTACCATCCTAAACTCCAGCTCTGAATGTATCTGTCTCCTGTTCTAAATCTTCCATGACTTCGAAATCACAGTCAGGACACCCCTCAGTTTGGCCTTACTACTCAAGATTGAGCTGAATTCATGACCATAATTCAGGCATTCGGACGCATTTTGTGGGTTTTGCTAGCTCTTGTTTTGTTTTTGCACATCTTGCCTACTGAAAATGGCTGAGTTGCAAAGTCTTATCGCTAAATCAGTAGGCAATGCTGGATTCTGGGCTGTTATTTACATATCTGTATCACCTTTTATTTCATAAGATAGCATTGTCAGAGTAATTTAGTACTTCAACATAGTCAACAAGTAAAATAAAGTTAATGAGAATGATCTTACTTTGAGTATTTGTGTCATTTCTAAAATGGTCCTTTTTCCTTTTTTTGGATGCATATTCATGTTCTTCATTACTGAATATTTCTTCATCTTCACTATTTAAGATACTGAAATAAAGATATATTCTATTAAAATATTTTTTCAGGGAGATCTTCATTTGGCTTTTCTTTTGTAAAGGATACAAATACTTAAAAGTGACAGATTCTGAGCTTGAAATTACAAGAATAATGCTTAATATATATTTTTTTCATTTTGGGAAATGAGATGTATCCTGGTTCTTTGAGAATATTATACCAGAAAGTGCTGAACATGTTTCACAATCTCTCAAGGGTCTTGAAATGCTTAACCAAGGTAGTTTTCAAACATCAAAATGCTTTACTAAAACATATAATTATTTTTAAAACTATAAAAACTCCAGAAAATAAGATTGTAAGAATATGATGATACCCAATATTGACCAATGACTTGCTGTATCCCTTACCCCATGCTGAGTAATGACTCAACATTTCTTCTTACCCCCATTTTTAAAGGTTAATTTTTACTGTACTAAACATTTCTTATTAAGCATCAACCAAATATGCTGTTAACACATTTAACTGGAATCAGGTGAAATAACATGTACATTTTTACCATTTAAACACATTCAATTAAGTTTTTCCAATATTTCTTCTTTGTGAAATAAGAAAATCAAATCACAAGGCAATAACTAAACAATGCGAATATTTTACTTTTTAAAAAAAAATTCTTCCTTATAGTTAAAAAACAACAACAACATGTAAATAGTAATTCACATCCTCAAAACTAAAGATGTGTAAAATTTTTATTTTCCACGCACTGATAACAGATTTTCAGTCTAAAGTGAGGAAGGAAGCTCTGTGGAGACAAGCTGGCTATTGGAAGCATGCAAGAATGATGCTCAAATCCAAGGAACTAAAATTCCTTATTTCCCGGTCATGGTTCTTTTATAAGAAAATTGTATACAAGCCCCTTTCCACTCACCAGTATTCGCTTTTAGTAAAAACAGCTGACTTTGCCAAATGAGTCAATTTCTCACTGTCAGAACAGACTTAAACAGCAATGGCAACAGCTGTAAATCATCAAGACAAGCAAAGAGCATTTGAAAAACATACAAACAAATGAACTTTTTGTGGCAGACATTATAACACCAATTTACGGAAATACACTGATGTTCATATTTTATATTTAGTCTTACACCAGTTTGTCATTGATTGAGATACTGAATGTAAAAGCTTTAGAATCTCAAAGGGCTTCCTTTTTTATTATTATACTTTAAGTTCTGGGGTACATGTGCAGATCTTGCGGGATTGTTACATAGGTATGCACAGGCCACGGTGGTTTGCTGCATCCATTCCCCTGTCACCTACATTAGGTATTTCTCCCAATGTTATCCCTCCTCAATCCTCCCACCCCCTGCTATCCCTCCCCTAGTCCCCCCAACCCCTAACAGGCCCCAGTGTGTGATATTCCCTCCCTGTGTCCATGTGTTCTCATTGTTCAACACCCACTTATGAGTGAGAACATAGGGTGTTTGGTTTTCTGTTCTTGTGTCAGTTTGCTGAGACAAGACTGTTTCTAGCTTCATCCATGTCCCTGCAAAGGACATGAACTCATCCTTTTTTATGGCTGCACAGTATTCCATGGTGTACATGTGCCACATTTTCTTTGTCCAGTATATCACTGATAGACATGTGGGTTGGTTCCAAGTCTTTGCTACTGTAAACAGTGCTGCAATGAACATATGTGTGCATGTGTCTTTGCAACAGAACGATTTATAATCCTTTGGGTATATACCCAGTAATGGGATTGCTGGGTCAAATGGAATTTCTATTTCTAGATCCTTGAGGAATTGCTACACTGTCTGTTCCATAATGGTTAAACTAATTTACACTCCCATCAACAGTGTAAAAGAATTCCTATTTTTCTACATCCTCTCCAAGCATCTGTTGCCACCAGATTTTTTAGTGATCACCATTCTAGCTGGCATGAGATGGTATCTCAATGTGCTTTTGATTTGCATTTCTCTAATGACGACTGATGATGAGCATTTTTGCATGTTTGTTGGTTCTATAAATGTCTTCTTTTGAAAAGTGTCTGTTCATTCCTTTGCCCACTCTTTGATGGGGTTGTTTTTTTTTCTTGTATATTTGTTTTAGTTCTTTGTAGATTCTGGATATTAGCCCTTTGTCAGATGGGTAGCTTGTAAAAATTTTCTCCCATTCTGTTGGTTGCTGGTTCACTCTAATGATTGTTTCTTTTGCTATGCAGAAGCTCTTAAGTTTAATTAGATCCCATTTGTCTATTTTGGCTTTTGTTGCCATTGCTTTTGGTGTTTTAGTCACGAAGTCATTGCCTATGCCTATGTCCCAAATGGTACTGCCTAGGTTTTCCCCTAGGGTTTCTATGGTGTTAGGTCTTACGTTTAAATCTTTAATCCACCATTTGTAGATTCAATGCTATCCCCATCAAGCTACCACTGAAATTCTTCCAGAACTGGAAAAAACCACCTTAAACTTCATACAGAGCCAAAAAAGAGCCCACATAACCAAGACAATCCTAGGCAAAAAGAACAAAGCTGGATGCATCACGCTGTCTGACTTCAAACTATACAAGGCTACAATAATCAAAACAGCATGGTACTGGTACCAAAACAGACATATAGACCAATGGAACAGAACAGAGGCCTCAGAAGTAATGCCACACATCTACAACCATCTGATCTTTGACAAACCCGACAAAAACAAGCAATGGGGAAAGGATTCCCTGCTTAATAGTGTTGGGAAAACTGGCTAGCCATGTGCAGAAAGCTGAAACTGGACCCCTTCCTTACACCTTACACAAAAATTAACTCTAAAAGGGTTTTTCTAATGAAAATTACAAACATATCAAAAGAAAAGCACAAATATACTGTTTTTCAGAAACTGTGTCACAGAAATAAAGACAGAATATGGAAGGAGACAGGACTGCTGACTAATCTCATCTGTACAGGGAGAAGGACACTCCATGGAGCTTAGTTCTAACAGGTGTGTGGGACAGAAAAGCAAGGTGAACCTAGGGATATCCTGTGGACACACTGAGCTGGAACCAACTCTGCCTATGGGTGGTGGGGCCAGGTTCAGATTCTTGCAGTAACTGCATTCTCCTGTGAATCTGAGCCTAGATGGTGTCCGCTGTGGCTCCCTGGGGGCTACCCACACTGTGGATTCCACAGGTGGAGGTGACCTTCTTAGGCACTGCTGGGACAAGTCCTGGGCCCATGTGGGCAGTGGTAGGGCTCAAAGAACTTCAGTGTTAGGGCCTTGTGGAGTCTGTATCAGACTTGAGGACCAACCCCGGGCTCACAAATGACAACCAAGGGAAAATGGCTACTTTAGAAAAACCAGTAACTAGGCTATTTTTACAATGTATTTTAAATATGCGGAAAAAGCTATTATTTTTTGGTTGTGAGTCTTATACTGTCAGGTAAACAAAAATGTAGAAGTAGAGAAGAAAGATGAATGCTTCTGAAATTTAAATTCAACATATTAAAATGTTAATAAAGGAATATTTAGTGTATAGAGCTTTCCATTCTGCATAGCAATCAACTACATTTCATAGCAAACATGTTCTCTTTTTATAACCTTTGTTTCATAAGCAAGTCAAACATTACCTACTCTGACTTAAAAACAAGGGAACTGGCCCAACAACTTTATTAAAAAGTGTCAAAAAACTTCAATAGACACCTCTCCAAAGAAGAGATACAACAGCCAACAAGCCCATGAAAAGATGCTCCACATCAAAAATAGGGAAATGCAAATTAACACTACAATGAGATACCACCTCACATTCATTATGGGCCTACTGGCAAATTTAAATAAAGAAAGTAACAAGTGCTGACAGGGATGCAGAGAAACTGGACCCTTATGCAGTGCTGGTGGAAACGGAAGATGGTATAGCCACTACATAAATGGTATGGAGGTTCTTCAAAAAATTAAACAAAGAATTACCATATGATCCAACAATTCCACTTCTGGGTTTTATTCAAAAGAGCTGAAAACAGAGAATGAAAGAGATACTTGTATACCCACTTTCACAGCAGTATTACTTGCAACAGGTAAACATGGAAGCGACCCACATGACCATCAGTGGATGAATGGATAAACAAAACGTGGTGTACACTATACACAATATCGAGTATTATTCATTCTGAAAAAGGAAATGCGGACACATGCTACAACAGGACTGAAACTTGAGGACATTATGCTCAGTGAGATAAGACAATCACAAAAGGACACATACTGTCTGATTCGACTAATAGGAGGTACTCAGAAAAGTCAAATAATATAGACAGAAAATAGAAAGGCAGCTACCAGGTCTGCGGGTGCTGGAGAATGAAGAGTTAGTGTTTAATTGGGACAGAGTTTCAGTCTGGGAAGATGAAACAGTTCTAGAGATGGATGGTGGTTATGGTTGCACAACAATGTGAATATACTTAATATCACTGAACCGTACATTTAAAAGTGGTTACGATTTCAATTTTGCATTATGTGTATTTTGTTGTAATTAAAGGTAAGAGACAGTGTGTAAGAGAGGAGAGGAAGCAGCAGCTTCTCTTGGTCATGCTGTCTGAGGTACATGCCGGAGGGATGGTGTGGAGGTCAGAAAGTGTTAAAAACAAAAGAAAAGAACCTCATACAACACAAGCTGAAAATACAGGGCACAACTTGTAAGGCATACAGAGTTTCCATAAACTTAAAACATGTCCGAATGACGGAGCTAACAGCCCTTAACTCCCCACACCAGGCTGTACCACAGCAATGTCATCCCCTTGCTTATAAACATGCCCCAAAGGCAATGAAATTCCAAGTTTCCTCTGACAAACCCAAGGACAGTGCACGACTTTTCCAAGTTCCTTTCCATTCAAGAAAAGGGAGAAAGGAACAATAAAGAATCAACAAAACAACTCCAAATAGAAGTAAACTAGAGCCAAGAACAGAACTGTTTCTCATAATTAAACCCGAATTTCTATATATTATAATCCTCATTCTAGTCATGACCTATAATAAGATTTGCATTTGTTCTGATGGTATTTTCCTGAAAAGATGGATAA